AAAAAAAAAAAGTAGACCAGGAAAGAAACACATGGATTAGAAATATTTGATCAAGCTACCAAAAGACTAGCATAAAGAAGTTTTTGAAAGGATATTAGGTATGAACTTGTAATATTCATTTGAAATTTGTAAAGAACTTAAAATTGATCAAAGACCTTCCTATTTTGTTTTAACCACCTGCCTAAATGCTATGAGGACTCCTGGCTTGGCGCTGTAGGATTAGCAGTGGACTGCAAACCACAACATTGGCAGTTCAAACCTACTAGCTGCTGCTTGGAAACGCTATGCTATAAGTCTGAACTGATTGAGTGGCCCTTAACAACAACAACAAATGCTATGAATATCTGAAGACTCACTTTGCTATTTCAACTGAAAATCCTATAAAGCTCTTCTCTTCATAAACACTTCTCTATTAACAGATTGGAGTTCTGGTGCTATAGAATAAGCACTGGACTGCTGGATGCAAGATCAGTGTTTCAAACCCACCAGTCACTCCTTGGAAGCAAGATACAGGGTTGCTATGAGTTAGAACGGACTCATTGTGCTTAGCAACAACAATAACATTAGCAGATTAAATAAGAAGTTCACTACAAGAGCTCAGATCATGCTTTACGTATATGTAAAATTCATGAACGTTTCTTTGGCTAGACTTTTGACAACAATCATATTTAGTTCCATTTGGTCGCAAAGGTAGCTGCCAGCATCTAGCATGAATCTGAGTCAGGTAGAAGGACAGCCAGCTCATCCCCAGAGCATTTTCCTATCACAGGTATTAGTATAATTAATTATAGACAAGGCATTTGGCCTTGTTCATATGTGATGTGGGAACAGGAAGAGCAGCAGAAATCACAAATTCTAATGATCTGAGGTTCTTACTCTCAGCTCTTGTGATTCAAGGCTACTGTTGCCAGAGAGAAATGAAAGAACTGCCAACTCCCATGATCAATGCTCAGGTGATAATTTATGATACCTTTCCACTGCTTGTCTACCTGCAATGAGAATTCAACCATCCCTCCAGCACAGGCATTCAGGACATTGAGAAGGCATCTCAGAACACTGAGAAGCTCTCTGGACTTGTTAATGTTTACCTAACTGCCTGGGGTGTTGTTGTTGTTGTTGTTAAGTGCCCTCAAGTCAGTTCTGACTGGTAAATTGTGGTTAACAGTCCAGTGCTTATCCTACAGCACCACACCTGGCCTGGGGTGGTGGTGGTGGTTGTTGTTCCATGGAGTTGGTTCCAACTCATAGCGACGCTATTATAGGATTTCCAAGGAGCGGCTGGTGAGCTTGAACCACCGACTTTGTTATTCAGACAACTTTGCAGTCTAGCGCATTAACCCACAGCTACACCAGGACTCCTCCTGGGGAGTTAAGGGCTGATAAACGGGACGGGCTGGTTTTTCCTTAAGACTTTGTGTTCTAACTTATAATGCAAAACTCACTCAAGTCAAATTTCAGAAGTCTGTTTTGAGCACTCCATGTGGAAAATATAATACAGACATATTAAAAAGCTCCAAGTAAAGGGAGAAAAAAAGGAACGGTTAAAGGGGATTCCTATAGATTCTGTGATTCAGTAGTGGGATCTTGACCATCATTTAAAAAATAACTCCCTTCTTCTTTAGGAGCCTGGTGTGGTGCTGTAGGTTAATGCTTGAGACTGCAAAGTTGGTTTGAATAACAATGTCCATCGGTGGTTCAAGCTCACCAGCGGCGCCTCAGAAACCAGATACAGGGTCACTATGTGTTGGAACCGACTTGATGGCACTTAACAACAACAACAGATTCTTTAGGATCCTTGACCATGACTGCACACTGAAATCACCTGGGGAACTTTTTAAAGTACCCGATGTCTTGGGCCATCCACATGAATTTGTAAGTAACTGGTTTGGACTGGAGGATGGCTTGTTATTGTTGTTAAGTGCTGTTGAGTTGGTTCTGACTCATGGAGAACCTATATAGGATTTCTGAGAGAAGATGGTGGGTTTGAAATGCCAACCTTTTGTTTAGCCATCCAATGCTTATCCTGCAGTGCCACATCAGCACTCCAGAATATGACAAGGATGTCAGAAATTGTTTTCAACTTTATATTGTGATTTGAGTGAAAGTTTACAAAGCAAACTGGTTTTCCTTTCAATAATTCACACACATTTCGTGACACTGATTGCATGATGTAGCCGCACTCCTCCCACCTGCTCACTTTGTTGGTCAGTTCTATTCCTTCCTCCTTCGTATCCATCCCTGGTTTCTGAGCTTCAGCTCTGGGCTAACGTTGCCTTGTGTATCTCAAACTGCTGATTGCTCTAAGGAATGCTACTATTGTTCCCCTTAGAGACTATCTATCCTCTGGCTGAGAGTTGAGCCAGGAGAGTGAGTTCAGGTATAGTCCAATCTGTTCCAGCTCATAGCAGGACAAAGTTGAACGGTTGCATAGGGTTTCTGAGGCTGTAAATCTTTATGGAAGCAGACTGTCTTATCATTCTCAAGCAAAATGGATCGTGGATTCAAACTGCTCATCTTTTGGTTAGTGGCCTCGGAGCAGATGTTAACATGCAGCTAAGGTTGAGTACTGTGAACCAAGGAATTCCTCCAGGGCAGGCAGAATCCAGGACCACTGATGTCCAGTGTCAAAGGACTAAGAGAAAGCTGTGAAATTATTCCAATTTGGATGAGTGGAAGGCAGATGATGAAATGAACTGTAAGGTCAGTTTCATGGTGTACAGGGTAGTGGAGGTTGTAACCAGTTTCACAGTTCATTTGTGAATGAAAGAGATGACCTCAGTTACAGAGGATACCACAGGGCCAAGAGGGAGGTTTTGTTCTTCACACATTAAGGGAAGATCCAGGAGAAAGAGAGTTTGAGCAGCAGGAAAAGGGTAACACCACTACTCAAAGTCTCTTAGAGACAGGACAGGGTCAGGTTAAGGTATGTAAGGGTTTTCTTTGTGAGGGAGTGGGAGCTAATGTTTATTGAGCATCAGCTTTGAAAGGTACCAGGCCAGACCCTGCATAAGCACGATTTCATTTAATCTTTCCAGCAAATCTTCAAGGACCATTGCAGGATATTGCTGTTGTTGTTAAGTGCCCTTGAGTCGATTCTAACTCATAGCGGCCCTGGAGCAACTGGTGGGTTTGAACCACCAACCTTGAGGTTCAAACTGAACTTTCAGCCCAGTGCTTATTCTACAGTGCCACTGCAGGCTTCATGATCCTACACATAGAATCACTACATCCTCACCATTCCATACTAATGATATTTCCAGTTCCTCCAAAAAGACAACAGTGGTCATTAAAAAGCACTATTGGCAGCCTGGCATTTATTTACTATAGAAAGAGCTACATGGGGGGAAAAGTATAAGCAGTGTAACTTTAGAATAAAGCAAAACATTGTCAAATTCTGTCTAAAATCCAAACACCTTGGTGCTTGCGCTGATCTCAGACATTCCAGCAGTTGTTTTTCCACATACCTGAGAGCCATGTTATGAGCAGCAGTTCCCAGAGCTCTCCTCCCTAGGATACACAGGGCAAAGGTCAGAGTCACCAGAGGAGAGTCCTCATCACTATCCAGCGTCTTCTTTGAAGGCTGAAAGAGGGAGGATCGTTAGTTAACTTTCACTCAGGCTGCAGTAGTTACTAACACACACTTTAAACCGAGAGTGGGAGGAAGCACTTGAGTCAGCCATGATGGCTAGCCATTCTCCTCTGTTTTCTTAAGATGCTTCTCTTATGGTTGGATATGGAAAGACATTAAAATGGGGAAGCTACTTTAAGGGAGAAAGGGGGTTAGGATGCGTTTTGATGATTAAATCCCTAGGATTTAGAATATTATCTTTCAGTACACGACTGTAAGACATGCTAACCGAATGCCCACTTTAACATTCCTTCTCTTATAGTTGGATACGGAAAGAAATTAAAATGGGGAAGCTACTTTATGGGAGAAAGGGGGTTAGGATGTGTTTTGATGATTAAATCCTTAGGATTTAGAATATTATCCTTTGGTACATGATTGTAAGACATGCTAACTGAATGCCCACTTTAACATTCCTTAATGTGGCACCATAGGATAAGCGCTTGACCTCAAGATCACTTTGAACGGCAAGGTCAGTGGTTCAAATTCATTAGCCGCTCCTCAGAAACCTTATACAGGATTGCTATGAGTTGGAACCAATTCAACAGCACTTAACAACAAAAGTGTAGGGGAAGAGATACGATCTAGCAGGAAGGGAATAAAAAAATCCATATGAAGCAAGCAAGAACGAAGGTCTTACCTTTTCCCTATAATGAAGGGTCCTCTAACTTGACCATATGTCCACAGTCAACAACTAAATTAAAAAGGCCATCACAGTATCTTAAAGAAAGAACGAAACCCTTGTATTTCATGCACTAAATGAGCAACAAGGAGGGCCATCAAGGTGGTAACTAATAATGTCAATGAATGAGTTGAATATCTCCACCACCTGAAGAGGCCAAGCAAGGGTAAAGCTGGTAAGCACACATGTGCAGAATAGTCTGTCTGGAAAAGGTCAGATCTGCTGTCTGCGTGTTCTGCCACCTGTTTTCAGTCGCTCATAAGCAGATGGTGACTTGGGTCTACTGTCATGGTTGCCTTCCTATCTACAGGACGTACTGTGCATTTTATCAGCTGCTGAGCACGTTGTTTTCAACATATACACACTCTCTCCTTCAACCACACTTTGATTCAAATACTGTTGCCCCCTCCCTCCTCTCTCCTCCTTGCCTATTTCATTTTGTAAGCTGCCATTGTCCTTGGTTACATTTCTGAGTGGTAGGACACACCTGCCACAAAGTCCTCAGCAACTGAATAACATGAGAGAAACAACAACAGAAGAAAGTGGGGTCATCTGATGGGCAAGTAACCCTGTGTACCCATGGTTGGATGTGCTCACAAATCCTCCTGAAGACTTTCAGCACAGTACTCTCTCTACAGCAATTCTAAATGACATTTTAAACAAAGAGATTTTCAATATTTTAAATCGATCATAGAAGCCTGAATTGGCACAGACCCTGCAGCCCACTGAAAGGAGACATGCATATTCAAGGCTGCTCAGGGGAGACACATTTGAATTTTTCCAGTTAATTGTGCTGAACCATTAAATAGACATCTAAGCAAATGAGAATGTTTTTTATTCCCTCTGTTTTATTCTAATCCACCACGGAGAAGAGCAGTCTATATAAGAAAGATGAGGCTTTCTCAGAAGGCTATATCAGAAGCCCTATACAAGGTCACTGTGCGTTGGAACCGATTCGATGGCACTTAGTAACAACAACAAGGAGTGTTTCTTGTTTTAAAAATCTTACATTCAGTGCCCTTTGGTTATTTAAATGATTATATATTCCTCAGTGTTTTTGCATACCCCCCACACCACCACCAAAAAACCCCAAAACAACAGGGGGAATAGAAGCAAATCCTGTTGAATGATGATGCACGGAGGAGATTGTGATCACTTCAATGAAACAATGATTGTAAAACTGATGTTCTCCCATGTAAACTATCACTCAATCCACAATAAAAACTTGAAAAAAAAAAAAAATCTTACATTCAACACCCTTCTCCTGCCCCTCACCTACCTCTTGTTTCCGTGCACAGTACTGGATCCATTCTAGGTAAACATTGCAGTAGCTAGCTCTGGTGATCCCTTGAAGACATGGCACATAGTCATCATCAATGTTAATGTTGAACACGGCAGGGTCACGTTCAATATAATGCCACTTGGCAAAATGTTGCAGTGACTTAAGAAGTGACTCATTTTTGATCCAGGAGAGGAGTTTGGGGGAAGTGACCATATAGTATATTATACTCTGCAGAGAGAATGCATGAAGTTGAGTTATCCCAGCCATTCGAAAGCCAGAGAGGTTTTCATTTATTACATCTCAGAAAGTCAATCAGTCACAGGGAAGGATGGGGCATGAAATCTCCACATGCGGCATCATTTGTATTCCCTGCTAGATTTAATTTATAAAACCCACTTGAGACATCCTAAAATATCCTTTCTTACAAGTCAGTGTAAGGTAGAGAAAAGTCAAAGATGACGAAGCTAACAGAATGTGAGAGAGTAGAATTTTCATGGTGAGTAAGAAGCTCTGGTAACGTAGTGGTTACGAATCAGGCTGCTAATCTCACGGTCAGCAGTTCAAAACTACCAGCTGTTCCGCCGGGGAAAGATGAGGCTTTCTGCTCCTGTAAAGATTTCCAGCCTCAGAAACCCTGTACAGGGTAGCTATGAGTCAGAACCGACTCCACGGCACGTAACAACAAAAGAGAGACTCATGGAGTGGTGGAATTATTGCAGGCTTCTATTTAGCTGAATCCAGCTGCGAGAGAAGGGCAAAGTCCCCCTTCTGGAGCCCCAACCAAAGGTTACTGAGGGCATTAATATGACAGGGTTCCTACGAAAAGGATTTATGATGTCAAATTGTAGTGCACACATACACGCATAATAACATTGGGTGCTCAGACCATTAGTATCAGTGACACATTCAAAATCAACCCATGTTCTCTCTGTCATCAAACACTCTGCTTATGAACCCGCAATGCAGTAGTCACACCCCTCAAAGTGTGCTACTTGGAATCACAGCTTTATTCAAAGCCATCGTGTAGTTTTCAGATGAATTCATCGTTCAAAAAATAGACCCCCACCTCAAGGAGTGGAAATGTGACACAGAAAAGGACACTCCAAGTCTGCTATAGGCTCATTAGACAGTAACTCAAGGTGCCCTGTGGGAGTGACTCCTGGTGTTTGCTGCGTTCTCTTTACAGCAGAACAGTGATGGAGGTTCAGGTGGGCAGGGGAGGGTGGACAGGAGGCATGGCTATGTGTCACCATGAAATTGCCAGCAACAAATGGGAGGTGGCAGGGAGGCTTTGATGCATTAAAATCACACACTTAGTTGGGGCCCTTCCCTGAGGATAAAGCACAGTATGTTTGTTTGTTTTCCAAAAGAGAAAACAGAGAATGATCCATGTTGATGTGGACTTGTATAAAAGCTTGGCAGTGGAGAAGCAGCACCCTGACTGGGGTGAGGGTGTGGGGGTGGGTGGTTGCTTACTCCATGCCATTCTCTCTCTTTGAGCGCTCAGTGAAATCCAAAGTTTTGAGGTTGGAGGTCTCTGAAGTCTTGTGTTCAGGTAATTCCAGGGGCTTGAGCAGGTCTGACAAACAGGATCACTGGTCATTGGGAAGAAGTGCTCATGCCAGACTTAGCATCTCTCTACTGTCAGACAGAAGGCTACTTTTTGGCTAATGCCTTGTGGTTCTCCTCCTTTGAGATATATTCTTTTGGGCTCCACAGTCTACCTGACCCCAAATGAATAACATGGCAAGTAAAAGTCCACAGATTATAAGAATCCAGTAAGTAATTCACAGAAACGGTGGTGGCACTGTTTCCCCGAATAACAATTGCTGACATGAAAGCATCCTTCAATACAAGAAGGGAGGGAGACAGGAGGGCAGGGAAAGGGGGAGGGAGGGAGGAAGGAAGGGAGGAGGGAGGAGCAGGGAGAGAGGAGGAAAGGGAGAGAGAAAGGAGGAGAGGGAGAGGGGAGGGAGAGAGCAGGGAAGGGAGAAAATAGGAGGAAGGAGGAAGGAATAGAGAGGTAAAGGGAAACAGGAAGTAGGAGGTGAGAAAGACAAGGTGTTAATGATGTCCACAACTCATCACCAGCTTTGAGACTTAAAATGAGATGATGGATATGAAGGACAGGGTACATGGTACATGAGTCTGGAATAATGAACATCATACCTGTGGCTCCTATCTCTTACCTACGCCTTGTGCAGGGTGGACTGGAGGCCCAGAGATACAAGCAGAAAGGCAGTAGCACAGCTAGGAAAGGTCTGGAGCAGAGTAGAGGCTCTGGGTGGCATTAGGGGATGGAGATGCCTGTCTGTTAGTAACCAGAGTGCATATCTTATATTCAAATGCATAAATCCTGAATCTGGAGGGTTTCCTCCAGTCTATCCACTGGATGGGCAACTTAAAGGCTCCATGAGGTAAGTGGTTTAAGTTGTTGTTGTTGTTGTTGTTGTTATGTGCCGTGGAGTCGGTTCCAACTCACAGCAACCCTGTACAGGGTTTCCGAGGCTGTGAACCTTTATGGGAGCAGAAAGTCTCATCTTCCTCCTGTGGAACATCTGGTAGTTTTGAACTGCTGACCTTGTGGTTCGCAGCCCAATTTGTAACCACTACTCTACCAGAGCTCCTTAAGTGGTTTAAGTAGATACATCAAAATTAATGCAAAGGAGTACGATAACACCCAGCATCTGTGACCTTGGCCACAGGCACCATTCTCATTTAAGAAAGGAAAAGAATACATTGCTCTTCTTAAACATCTAGGGCTAGCAGACATCTGGTCTAGGTGTTTTGCCCCTTGTATATTCTAGTCACATGCACCAGACAGAAATAACAAAAGACAAAAGTTTACCTTTACTTAGTGAATAATTGTTATCAGAACTGACTTCGAGGGTTAGAAATGTAAAGGTGGACGTTTTGTAGCAAAAGGAGGGGGAGTGACTGACTTTGCAGTCCAGGAGCTGAGGTCCCTGGAACCATCAAGGGAGAAGAGCAGAGAGCAGGACCCTACCCAGAGAAACAGTGATGCCAGAGATGGAGGCAGAGACGATGACATGGAGAGATGGAGCAGCTGGAGACTCTGGACTCAGAGAGGGAGAGGGGCTGTGTGCTGACTACTGGGTGGGGGGGGGCGGGCAAGCTTGTAGGGTATACCCTTTGGTTGGTTGATGATGCATGGAGGGGATTGTAATCACGGCAATGAAACAATATATGACAGGATGACTATAAACCTATGTTCTCCCATGTAAACTATCACATAATTCACAATAAAACATTTTAAACAAAATAAAAAAGTTTACCTTTACTTAGGACCATAGTCTTGTAGGACACCTCAGTCAACTGGCACAACATAGCCTTATAAAGTTTATGTTCTAAATCATAGTTTGGTGAGTAGCAGCTAGGGTCTTAAAAGCTTGCCAGTGGCTATTTAAGATACAACTATTGGTTTGCACTCATTTGGAACAAAAGAGGAGGAATGAAACCAGAGTTTCAAAAACAAAAAACACAACTAGTCTGCAAAATCAATTGTGTGCATGAACAATGGCTTCCCTATCCAGAGACCCAAAGAGCTAGATGATACCTGGCTACCACTACTAACCATTCTGACTGTAAGAAAACTGTAGAATAAAACACAGGATTAAAAAAAAAAAGCTATATTTTCTGGACTGTCAGAGAATTGGGGACCCCCCTAGGCTATTTCCCTAAAATACCCTTTAATCTCTGAACAGAAAGTACTCCCAGATGTCACCATCCAACTATTCAAGATTGACTCATAAAAGAAACAATAGCACACATGAGTACTTTGCTCCTTTTATCAAAACAAAAACCATCTATTTGACACCAAGTTGTCAACATTCACCCAAAGCAAAGATGAGAAGGTAAACAGGAGGAGAGGGGGCATCAGGGAAGCAAGAATGACAGAAATAGAACCAGAACTGAAATCATGAGAATGTTGATACAATGTGGAAAATGTAACCAATGTCACTGAATTATATCTAAATATAAGGAGCTCTAGTAGCATTGTTGTTGTTATGTGCCATGGAGTTGGTTCTGACTCATAGCGACCCTGTACAGGGTTTCAGAGGCTGTAAATCTTTACGGGAGCAGAAAGCCTCATCTTTCTCCTGTGGAACAGCTGGTAGTTTTCAAACTGCTGACTTTGGGTTCACAGCCCAATTCGTAACCACTACACTACCAGAGCTCTAGTAGTGGAATGGTTATGAATTGGGCTGCAAACCTCAAGGACAGTAGTTTGAAACTACCAGCAGTTCCAAAGGAGAAAGATGAGGCTTTCTGCTCCCGTAAAGAGGAAACCCTGTACAGGGTCGCTGTGAGTTGGAACCAACTCTACGGCACACCACCACCAATCTTGCAAAGTGATTGGACCATTGACTATGAAAATAAGGTGCATAAAACCCTGGTGAGGGTTGGCTGATTACTATGCAAATTAGGTGACTTGCTACTGCCAAGAGATTGTGGTCAAAACACTTGGTTTATTTCTAACAATAAATGTTACCAGTTAGGCTTATGAAAAAGGTCACCCCATAGAGAATGGTTGGGAGACCTCTACCATCAAGATGAAGTGCTAGCAGCAGAGCCAGTCCTTGGGATCTAGGGTCCCTGCGCTGAAACCTTGTAGACCCAGGAGACAGAGTTGTAACACTGGAGACAGTAAGAGCAGGCACCACAGCAGTGATCTGAGACAGTAGGAATCAGGATACTGGCATGGACTGGCTGAAGTGAGCTAGCCAGCCCAAAGAGAGAGAGAGCTGAGCGCTTTTTAGTAGGAGGATTGATGGCAGAGTGGGGTGCCTCCGGAATCTGGGGAGCTAAAGAGCTGAATCCCTTGCCTCAGTAGGTTAGAGGCTAAGAGGAATCTCGCATGGCCAAAAGAAGTGTCTCCTAGACTGACGTAGGAGCATAGTCTATCTATGGGGTGCTGAAGAGAAAGAGTTAAATGCTGTCCTGGTTGGAAGTTGTCCTGGTTTACAGACTGATCCTGTTTACATCTCTCCTGTTACTTTGAAATTAATCCTGATCCTGAACTGTAGCTGATTACTTGCCTAATAAATCCTGTAACTGCGGGAAAAAAGAGAAAAGGTTTACGGCTTGATTTATTTCTGTGGAGCAGTTAAAATCACCCTACAACTGATGAAGTCATAATAGTTAACAAAGACTTGAAATCCCAGTAGTTGAGTCTTCTCTTTCTAGATCTGGCAAAACTTTGCAGTGTGGACTTGGGATCAAGCATGTAACCCTGGTTCATCATTTCCAAATGGGAGGGGAACCACAGTCCAAAGATTCACCTCTAACTGATAGCACACAGAACGCCCTCTGCCCCCACCCCACCCCCACCCCAGTTAATTCAAAGCTGTACTGCATTTCTGCTTTATTTAGAAAGAAATTCTGTCATGTAGACAAAGTCAACCAGTCATGTGGAATGTCAGAATCTCGCAGAATGGAATGACTATAATGATCAGAGTAAAACAGGTAAGTTAGGTGGAAATGAATTTGACTGAGTAAAACCTGAACCACATTGCAAGTAGAAGGCCCTCTGAATTAATTCAGTATATCTGGCTCCAACAGCGGGGATTCTCTTGGTTACTCATTTTAATTGTAAATCAGTCTATTTTTTTCAGACAACTGATTCTAGGAAGGGGTCCTGGCAGGCCAGCCAACATGATGGATTTGTCATTCTGTATTCTGCAAGGCAAGCGATAAGCACATCTTCCTTCTGAGAGAGCTAGGCAGAAACAATGACAGCACGAAAGTCAGGCACTTGTAAAAGCTGCTTTCTTGAATGTTAAGAGGCTTTAAAACACTCATAAATTGAGAAGCGTTGGAGGATACACCAGGGAAAATCTCAAGTCCTCAGGAAGGAAATGATTTCAAATATATTCATGAAGGGTGAAGGAACTGACCCAATTTATTAAAAGATTCTTTACAAATCCTTTTGTGTAAAAGGAATGATTCCAAGTTTTTCTATCTTTTCAATTTGATTATGCAATAAAAATAAAAAAAGATAAAGATTAAGAATGACACTGAATTCTTGAAACATGATGAATTCAGAGGTACATAGTCAACTTTGTTCACCAAGCAACCAAGGCCAAAGAAGACAATATTTACTTTCATTCCAAAAGCATGTTTCATTTCTTCTCATAGTCATTCTGTTCTCTTGAAATTTCGTTTAACAAACTGCACTGTGGGAGAGGGAGTCCTCAGGTAGTGCAAACGGTTTTGACATTTGGCTGTTGACTGAAAGGTTGGAGATTCAAGTCTACCTAGAGGGTTTTTGAAAAGAAAGGCCTGGTGAAAATCAGCTGTTGAAAACCCTCTGGAGGACAGTTCTAGTCGGGTACACAGGGAATCGCCATGCATTGGAGTGAGCAGTGCTTCTGACTACCTCTTGCTGAAGGGTAGGTAGGAAGATCTATGACTGAGTGCAATATTGAGTGAATGAGGTTGGCACTGCCAATGTGAAGGTGGCACCACGTAGCCTCACTGGCCCCAAATCCTCAGTTCATGTGAGTTCTGATTAAGAGTTAAGATGATTCTGTTGATATTCAATACAAATATGTCTCTAGTATTTCCCAAACTTGGTTGTGAAATGACTCCGGGAATTTAGTTAGAATATAATTCCTTGCGCCCCACCACAGGCCTATAGAATCAGAATTCTGGATAGGACACAGAAACCTGTAGTTACGCACCAGCTGGGTGGGGCTGATGTAACTGGTCTACCCAACCTGCAGGCCTCTTTTCAGAATCACTCCCTTTTCTTAGAAATCAGAGTTAAGAGTGCTGCTCCCAGAAGCCAGCTGGTACATGGCAGGGTCCTGGGGTCTCCCCTAACAATCTTCCATGTGCAGATTGCCCTGGAATTATGGTTCAGATTTTGGAAAGCACCTAGAGGTTCAGGAGGCATATCAGGGATAACAGTGGATACTAGCTACAAGTCCAGGAAGGGAGGCAGAGAAATTATCTGGACATCAGCACAGAATACCCAAGGCCTCTAGAAAAGCCCGAGTGTTAGCTGACAGAAAGACACCAAGAGGGCACCTTATTCCCTTCCTTTTGTTCTCTAGGAGGCTGGTTCCAAACGAGCACAACTTTCTGATGCTGAATCCAGGTTGGGGCAGATGTGATTAATGAGACACTGAAACAGTAAGCCGTTATGCCCCACATGAGTGAGGGGAAAGGGTTTGCAATAACTTCTGTTTCCACCAGGAAATGGAACTTTCCAATCCTGGTGATAATGGGATTTTGCTGTATTTTTAATTAACCATGAGATTAAAAAAACAATTCTTGTTCTAAAATAGATGATTTACTAAGCAGCTAAATGGACTTAACTCATAAACACTGAAGTTTGGAAACATTTCTAAGGTGTTTAAGTTTATCGTCCCCCTCATTACAATAATCTCTGCAGCATCAGAAGCGAGGATACAAACCTGGACAAGAAACCTGACTGGCTGTTTGAGCTAGGCTTAATATAGGACTCAGGAACACAGACCACAAAATAACCAAAGTCCTCCAGGATTGTTCAATAAAGTAGTGTTTCCGAAACCTAACTGGGCATCTGATTCACAAGCTAAAGAGGCCTGGAAATCTTTATATTTACAAAGCATTGCAGAGGTAAGTGTTTGAGACCTTGAGCATTAAGTACCTTGATGTAGTAACGGATGAGGATCCTTCGAAGATCAAAGACCTGCAGCAAGGTAGCTGCATTGTTGTCTATGATACTATAGCCCTCCAAGATGTACTGCGTCCGTGTGATTTCCCACGTAAGCCAGCGGAGGTTGAATGCTGCGTTGCAGGACAAGAGGTGGGGTAAGTGGCCGGGCTTACAGCAGCAACATCCTCCATCATCTTCATCGCCCTCCATGATGGCTTCCACCTCTCGCTGCTGACAGTAGGTTCCTACCAAGTACAAATAAGGATGCAAGCTGTAACAATGGCAGACTACAACGTTGGCTTGGAATAGAGTTTCCTCTTGCCTTTTATTAGAGAGGAAGATGCTTAAGAAAAAAGAGATCTAGGAATCAGGAGATTTGCTTAACTTTTGCTTTAAACAGTGCCCTTAAAGAGTTCACAATTCTTATGTTCAATCTGATTTTCATCTCTTTTTGCAATTTTAAATTTTCTACCCAGTGAGTAATGATCGTAAGGTGGTCCTGGATAGCAATGATTGAAATGCAGAAGGGTTATAGACTTGTGTTTCCACTTCCGGAAACATGAGGTCCTAACAGACTAGCTGGGAGGCCTATAGGAAAATGACATGTGGAAGGTTGTTGTTGTTGTTGTTGTTAAGTGCTGTTGGGTCAGTTGTGACCCATAGTAACCCTGTATAGGGTTTCCAAGGAGTGGCTGGTGAACTTGAACTGCCTACCTTGTGGTTCAAACAGACTTTGCAGTACAATGCATTAACCCGCAGTGCCACACCAGGACTCCATGTGGAAGGTACTGACTAGGGAGGAACTAGGTACATGATGAGGGCTACCAGGAGGGGCAGCCTGAAAGAAGCTCCTTTGATACTCCCCAAGGCCTTGGAACCTCACTGCAGACCATGGGGATCAAGGTGAGCTGAGTATACATCCAAGAAGTTAACTCCAGAAAAATGGTAAAACAGTGTGTGCAAGCAACCTTTGAAAACAGAATACAATATCTTCCTCAACACTTTTATCATTTGAAGGGAAATACATGTAGGATGTTAATCACATGAGAATATTTGTACTAGTTGCTGTTGTGTGCTGTATAGAGCTTCCAAGAGTGGCTGGTGGGTTTGAACCACTAACTTTGAGGTTAGCAGTCCAGAGCTAATCCTGTAGTGCCACACCAGGGCTCATGGGTACCAGTTAATACACTTCAATGTAGGTATCTAAATTAGTCCTAAGGAGATCTGGCAGCTTAGTGGTTATGAGTCTGGCTGCTAATCTCAAGATCAGCAGTTCAAAACTACCAGTGCCTCCACAGGAGAAAGGCGAGGCTTTCTGCTCCCATCAAAATTTACAGCCTCAGAAACCCTGTGCAGGGTCATTATGAGTTGGAACTGACTCCATAGCACACAATCACCACCACCAAATTAGTCCTGTAGGATAATATACTATACTGCAAAGTCAGTTTGAACTGCAAGGTTGGTGGTTTAAGCTCATCCACCGCTCTTCGGAAACCCTATACAGGGTCCCTATAAGTCGGAACCAGCACTTAACAACAAATAATGTTATCATTTAGATAATGTGATCTAAAATTATCTCATTCGGCTGGAAACATGGACTGAATTTAATGAACTAAAAACTAAATGAAATATCCTGCACCTAGGTTCAAAAAACCATCTACATTATTTAGGATAGGAATATATAGTAACATATTTGACAAGTCATTTCATAGTTCCATTGATTTGTGAACCAAAAGTAAGATAACGTATATAATTTAATGTAATCTAGATTGTATCAATAGAAATACAATGTTTAAAGCAAATGGGATAGCTTTCATTGTAGTAGATTTCGTATTGCTCCTCTATTACACATAAAAGGACATTGGCAAAATTAAATAAAGCCAGCAGGGTTAGTCAGTCTAAAAAGTTACACTTCTTAGACAAGTTTTCTATTACAAAACTAATAGCAGACTGATACTATTGAACAAGGTTATGGTGGTGATGGTGTGCCGGGGAGTCGATTCTGACTCATAGCGACCCTGTATAGGGTTTCTGAAGCTGTAAATGTTTATGGGAGTAGAAAGCCTCATTTTTCTCCCTTGGAGTGTCTGGTAGTTTGGAACTGAGTAAGACCAGTGAAGTTACAATTTACAGAGAAGAGGAAGATTGTACGAGAAATTGACTTTGGCTAAGTGTCAACCAACAGATGAATAAAATGTGATAGATACATACATAATATAAAGAAAAATGAAGTTCTGATATATGTTATAACATGCAGGAACATTACAAACCTTATGCTGAGTGGAAAACATCAGGTACCTAAAGACAACTGCCGTTTTGATCCCACTTACATGAAATTTCCAGCATAGGCAAACACAACAAGACAAAGTTTTATTAGTGATGACCAGGGCAGGGGGGAATGGAAACGCCTGGTGTTCTTCTTAGAAAAGATAGATTTAGAATTCTGGATCACATTGTAAAAGTAACAAAACCCAGTCATTTCTGAAAAGACCCTAATTTTGCTGTCAAATGAAAATCAAGATCCAAGTTCTTCTCAGTGAAGCTGACAAAGGGTAGAGCATATTCTTTCCAAAGGGGAGGCTGGGGTCCACAGGTCCCACATAGAGATTTTTGTAGCACTCAAAGACATGACTGTTAAGCCGAGGGCCTCACGGTGTCTGTTATTTTCTAAACTGACTGCTTGCATCTTTTATATCATGCGTTCCCATGTATAACAGGCATTCAATAATGCTTCTTGAGTTCATTTTTGAGATAATCTTGGAGTGCTTTTACTTCTGATTGACAATATTGTCTGATTCAAGCTGTGGAAATTTAACATTTGAACTGAATGAGTATCTAGGAGAGCCCAGAAGTCTTGTTGCTCACAGGATGTCTGTAGACTTCCTGTGTGTGGACAAAATGTGGGATAGTAACTACTGCTATGATCCTCCAGTTCTCTCCCATCAACCAGGCCCATTCTCCTCCATGTTCGTTTGTTTCCAAAGGAGCAAAGGTCTGCTCTGCTTTGAATACTGTTTGTCACACCTACCAGTGCAGGTACAGGTACAACCTGGCTGAATGATCCCAACCAATTCCAAAGGAATCAAGTTAATCTAAAAAGGCATACATGATGGGAACAAAGATAAGAAAAATGTGATGAAGTCCACAGGCCTGTCATGGTCTTAACTACGTTCTATGATGTCTTACATTTGCTAAAGTTGGGCTCTTTAATTCTGGGCTTTTTAGCAGCCGATGTAGAAAGAAAACTTGAATGGCTTCTCAGGTTCTTAGGACAAACATGAAATAATTGCTGGCAAGGATCATAGTTATTTCTAACAAGGAGAGCAAACAGATGACATCCCAGGATCTCCATGAAGAACACACGGTACATGATAGCCGACAACATTCTTAAGGAAAATGCACTGTGGATACAGCCCCGAAGGTAGGATGCCACTTTTAATTTCTCACGATGTAGGGTGACAGAATATGGCCAAAATGCTGAAAAGAAAACACATTTCTTTATGTGACCCAAACACTTCAAGCTTTAAGGCTCTTGAGGAACAGAAGAACTTCATATGTTTCAGGAAATCCTTGAAATGTATAACTCTTTTCACTTGGTTTTGATGATTATTATATATTGAGTGGCTATGAATTTTATCTTATTTTTCCTGAAAAAAACATGGCACTTAGGATATTCAGGGTGACTGCTTCAGTGTGGACACAGCTGTTTTGATGGTCAGGAAAACTGGCGGGGAGCTAGCAGTGTCTTGTAAGAGACAGGAAGCCAGAAGAGGGTTGTTCATTCCATCAGTCTTTGGGACATCCCAAGTCTGCCAAGAGGAACTAACTTGACAGCACTTAACAACACAACCACATGATTTTGTCACAGTTTTTTTTACTTATCGTTGTACACTTTTCAAGAATTCTGGAATTAAATTGGCTTTGCTTTTGTAATTGTTATTCATTATTTTGTTAGCTAGTTTGCTAAAATCAAATACATAATTCAAGAAAAATTTATTGAATGCTCACTGTATGACCAAATGGTCTCTAGCTCAAGGCTTCATGTCTATACATATACGCACTAAAACAAGTGCAACTTTAATTACAACTGTGTTTTAAATCCAAGAACAAAGTAGTCTATATTGATTTTCTTATCTTGTTTGTGCTGCTGCTGCTGTTGCTAACTACTGTTCAGTTGATCCTCATATCTAGCGGCCTTGTGTAGGGTTTCCGAGGAGCATCGTGTGGGTTTGAACCTCCAACCTTAGGGTTAACAGTCCAGTTCTTATCCTACAGTGCCACACATAGCAAGCACTCTGTTTAAACTATTATATAAG